GAATTCTCCAATTTACCTGACTTTTAGACGTAGGTTGACAGCATAATCATGGTTTCATATTTGACAAGAATTATTCTTTATTACAAATAAAGAGATTCCAACTACAGGTAAACAATTATGAACAGTCAACATATAACCTTACTAATTAAAAGTAACACCTGATAAAATTCACCACGCACGCACACGTGCATGCACACACACATGTGCCCAGACAGACTTAAAAAAAAAGGTGTTATCAGTGGGGCGGGGGAAAGACTGGGGAAGCAGTTCAGTGGTCTCTGTCTGCAGGGTTTGCTGAGATGATCACTGCTAATCAGGGCACTGCTCCTTAATCTTCCTCCTCCAGGTAGTTTCCCTTGTTTACAGGAGGCACAGGATGACTGGTTTACGCTTATGAAGGTCCCTGAACTTACTGACTAAAAGTCATGGCTTGCAATATCTGAAGAATCTAAATAGACTGGATATCAGGCTTGAGATGCTTTTTGTTTCAGAGCAAAAACAGCTCCTTTCCTCTGACGTCTGATGGCTTTTGCCCAAACATTCACATCCCAAACTGTTCACCTACCTGGGAGTCAATCTTTTAGTTAGCAGACCAGGTGGCCTTTCTCATTTTTGTGTGGACTAGTCACCAGTTATCAATTGGCTACTTGTCAATAAATGTGGAGACGGAAAATCACAGCAGGTCAGACAGCATCCAAGAAGCAGGAAAGTCAACGTTTTGGGCCGAATCCAGCTTTTCCAGCTCCACATTTATTGACTCTAATTTCCAACATCTGCAGTCCTTACTGTCTCCAAATCAATGGCTACTTGTTGCTGGCCACATCTCCATTTGTGCACAACCGCCAAGCTCCAGCTTGTCTGTAGCTAGGTTTTAATTGTTGCTTGAACGAGCATTTGCAATAAGTGCCAGATAATTTGCTTTTAAACAGTGCACCAGTCCTGCTTTTTAAAATCCTATTTAAATCCGCAATCATAAATATAGAGAAATTAAAACAGAACAGAGAAATATCTTTAATTGGGGAATGCTGGGAATGGAACTTAAGGAGAGTGGAATTTGAGGAGCGTGTGGATAGGTTGGGACATTTTTCACTGGAGTGTAAGAGTTTGAGGGGCAACCTTATAGACATTTATAAAATCACGAGGGATATAGATAAGGTGTGGGGTTTTCAAGACTGGGGTGAGAAGAGAAAAACTTAAAAAAATGAGGGGCAATTTTTTTATTCAGAGTGTGGTTCTTGGGTGGAATGAAGTTCCAGAGGACGTTATGGTTACAGTGTTTAAAAGATGTTTAGATAAGTACATGAATAAAAAATGTTTGAAGGGATATGGGCTAAGCGCGGGCAGGTGTGACTATTTAGTTTGGGATTATGGTTGGCATGGACTGGTTGGACCGAAGGATCCTGTATAACTCTCTGACTCTATAACTCAACTACTACAGAGAGTATGTGCAACAAATGGCATAGATGGTTTTATTGAAAGCTAGATCATTACATAAGGGAGGAAGGAAAAGGAGGTGGTGTAGCTTTGTCATAAAATCCCAGGATTACTACCCAGTGACTAGTGAGCCGCGCAAATGGCCTACAGGTAACTATGTTCCTATTATGTTTTTACTTTTATTTGATGGTAGAGGTCACAGAGCTGGGAGTTGTTGTGAAAGTAAGTTTCAAGTTTCTGTTTGTATTATGTTTTATGACAATGTGATGGTGGTGAAAAGGTTGGATACTGAGTTCAATGGTCCAATTGAGTGAACTGGGATAAAATGGCTCTAATCTCCTCTTTTCTCAACTCTTTATCATTTCCCCAAGCCCCTCTCCTGACCATTGCTACCGTCCTCTCTCTCAGTTAGTTAATTATGTTGGTGCAACAACGCCATCTTTTCAGATTTTCCTCTCTAGCTTCTATTTTAGTGTTAGATGCAGGATATGGCCCCTGCCTTTCTGTCCTATGCCCAAAATTAGACTTGGTTCCTCCATCCACATTTAGATATCAAAATGTTTTACTCAATATTAGTGTTGACATCTAGCTAGATAAACATGAATGAGCTGATGGTTTCAAAGCACTTGTATTTTTTAGCGGCTTTGCAGCCTTCAAGTTTGCCAAATTATAAGGATAATCGAGAAAACAGTGACATTTATTACTACACGACATTGCAACATTTCACTGTGTATAAACATGTTTCCCGATGTCCTCCTTTGGTACAACAATAAGTAAGTTGGCCAATGGATCTAATGGTCAGTGAGTGGAGTTGCTGGCAGATGGGCAACCTTGATACCTTGTCAAGAATTGGCTGCAGATTCTGGACCAGGTGATTTCTGCATCTAGCAACCTTTTTTAAAGATTAATACAAAAGCACAATACTACAGATGCTGGAAATGTTGGAAGTACTCACCATGTTTGGCAACATCTGTGCAGACCTTTTGAAAACTTGTCAATTTCTCACTTGACCTTTCACAAAGACAGTGACTGACTGTTGGGTGTTTTTTATTTTTCCATGGGATATCGGCTTCGTTGGCTAAACTAGCATTCATTGTCCAGCCCTAACTGACCATGAGAAAATGGTAGTGAACCACTGTTGCATGAGCAAGAATATGGTAGTCATCTAATTGGCTTAGTACACCCGCAGTGCTGTTTAGATGAGAGATCCAGGATTTTGAATCTGCTGAATGGATGATGTAGTTCCAAGTGAGGCTAATCTCTGACATGGAAGTGAGTGTGCATGTGAGTGGGCTCCAATGTCTCTGATGTCTTTGTCAATCTGGTGGTACAGTTCATGGGTAGGGAAGGCACTATCAAAAGAGGTTGTGAAGTGCTGCATAGTCTCTTGTAAATGGTTGACTGCTGTCATCTTGTGCTATTGGTGGAGGAACTGAATGTTTTAAGATGGTGGAAGAGGCGCTAATCGAGAGGATTGCTTTGTCCAGGATGGTGGTGTTGGAACTGTAGCCAGGGGTGTTCCATCACGCTCCTGACATGTGCCTTTATAGATAGTCGACAGCCTTTGGGGATGTTGGGCGAGTTACTCAGTGCAAAGTTCCCAGGCTCTGACTTGCTCTGGTAGCTACAATATTTGTGACTGGCCTAGTCAAGTTTATGGTCAATGGGTGTTGGGGATAGTTGGTGGGGTCTCAGTAATGTCAGTTCCATTAAATGTCAAGGATGAGGTGGTTAGATTCTCTCTTGTTGGAGGTGCTCATTGCCTGGCATTTATGCTTCAGATCTTTCTTTAGCATTTATCAACCCAAGTATGAATGTTGTCCAAATGTTGCAGCAGATGGAAACTGTTTGCTTCAGTGTATTAGCAGTTCTGAATGCTGTGCGCATTTCCACTTCTGTCTTTGTGATGGAGGAATTGTCCAGGACCTGCCATGAGAATCTCTTGCAGACCTTTTCTGGGGCTGTGTTAATTGGTAGTCGACCACTACCATGATTGGCATAACAATGAATTGAGAGTTTACCCCTTGTTGCCCATTGACTTCAGTTGATGCCACACTCTATCAACTGCTACATTGTCAAGGGCAGTACACTCTTCAATTCTGAGAAAGGTTGGCTGTGTGTACAATTCATTCTAGAGCACAAGCCTTTAGTACTATTTCCAGAATTTTATCAGGGCTCATAACTGAAGAAATGGACTGAAGACTAGCATCTCTGATGGGGACCTCAGGAGGAGGTCAGCATGGATTATCCGCAAAGGTATCTCTGGTTGAAGATGGTTGATTCAACCTTGTGTTTTAGGCTCTGCTTTTGGATGATAGGTATGTTTAGGAAGATGCGCCTTGTGTTTGCTTAATTATCCACTACTATTTATAACTCCATTGGCAAGACCATAGAACATTAATCTGATCTGTAGTTAAGGAATCGTTCTGCTTTGTAGCGTACAGTTATATCGGCAGATAATAAGATGTAATAGAAATCCTAGTATTTCTCTTCACTGCAGTTGATTATCCTTCAATGCTTGGGGTAGGTTTTCTTTTCTAACACGCGTCTTTGTTGTGACCAGAGTGCATTCCAGTCAAGTGATTTGTGATGACATTTTCGTTTCTAACTTAAATTACTGATATGATCCAAGGAAGTGCAACAAATTATGATGAAACTCTAATGATGATATTTAGTCAGTATACCTGAAATTGGATATATGCACACTACTGTTGCATCAATTATGCAGTAACTGAAAGGCAAAATTAATTCATCCTGCGCCATTTCAATTGAAATACAGAGGGGTACAACAACTATGTAGTGTTCATACAGAAATGTCCAACAGATAGCAGTGAAAAATATAACCGATTTATGTACAGTTTATTTTCTGATGATATTGATTTGTGATAAATATTGGCTTCTGTAGCCGAGTGTACCATTCAGTCACCTCATGGCTGGTCAGTGCTTTTGTATGGTAGGCGTCTATAACTAATGCATCTTGCATGTCTCCCTTCTTTCCCTCCCAAGCTTTCACCACCCCCCCCTGTCATTTCTCCGCACCCCACCCAATGCACCCACTGCCTCCTGTCTGACAATATTAGTAATTCATGTGGGGTTGTAACCCACAATTTTATGACTTTGAGGCATGCTGCTATTATTAAGCTGGTGCTGACGTCTTATGCACTGCATCAAAGTTCTGAGGTTAGTTCCTCTTTTGTAAATAGCAGTATAAAAAAAGTGAGCAAATACTGAAACAGAAATTAGCTATGGTTCATGTTTTGATTGGTTGTATGCAAATTAGCTGATTTCTATTGGTTGTGAGACAGGAAGTGGCCAGAACAACAATTCATGGTATGAAACAAGGAAGTTAATTGAGTACATTGGTTTTAGTTTTCTTAAGGTGAACCAGTCTGGCAGCTGTTTCAGCTTTCTGTTTATGATCTCCTACAAAGTTCTAGTATCGCTTCCCTTACCAGTGCTGCTGAAAAGAAAATGGACGTTCATTTACTTATTATGAAACGTTAAATGTAAAGGCTGTTTTGTGGCAGTAACTCCCCCATTTCTTCTTTACATTGATTCTGAAAATTACCACTGATGCCATCCAACTGTCGAGACTCTGTGACCTTCAGCAGTAATCAAGGCATTCTCTGTTGTGCAAAAGACTTGTAGGTCACAGTTTCTCTTACGTTGACAGTGTGGGAATCCATAAGGAAGCTCACTGCGTGGACTACTGATGTTCAAGATCTTTGGGGATATTTTAATGTCATTCAGAATCAACCGAAAGAAGGGTCGTGTTCTGGATTCTCTGGTAAGTCTAAGGATTAGGAGGGAAAGTGAAGGACAAAGGCCTGAAATGGTCCAGTTAAATTTGTATTTGGCCCATATTCTGACAGTTTCCTGTTCTGAACTTTTTAAAGAAAGATGTTCGTTGGATTCCATTTGGAATTAGTGATTTGTTGCGTTTTAAAAATTCCCAGAAGTGTTCAGCTAGATTTGCAAGGCGTCTAGACTGATGTTCTTTTATACTTGGGAATCCAGAATAAAGAAAGTAAAGAAGTTAAAGTCTCTGCAGATCCACTTAGTATTAGGAAAGCTTAATTAAAACTGAACATGAGTTAAACATTTTCATTAGACCCGAGCTTCAATAACTTGGAATTGAAGCGCTACGGTGTGCAAACAGGCCCTTCGGCCCAACAAATCAACATGACCCTCAGAGTATCCCACCCAGACCCATCCACTATAACCCACCTAATCTACATATCTGTGAACGCTATGGAAAATTTTAACACAGCCGATCCATCTGTCCTGCACATCGTTGGACTATGGGAGGAAACCCATGGAGAGTGTGAAAACTCTACACAGACAGTCGCCTGAGGGTGGAATTGAACCTGGGTTCCTGGCGCTGTGAGGCAGCAGCGCTAACCACTGTGCCGCCCAAATGTTACTTAGCAGGAAATGTAAGATTCTGTGAGATATCTACTGATGGACGGCAAAAGCTATGGAAACCTCGATGTTGAAGTCTTTCTCCTCAGGCACCATGTCCTGCCACCAATTAAAGCTGCTTGGACTTATTCACCTAGAAATGTCAAAAATGAAACTGACAGACTTTTGTTAAGCAAGAGAAATAAGGGTAATGGGAACCATTTGATCAAGGTACAAATTAGCTATGATTTAACTGAATAGTGGAGCAGTCTTCTATTCCTGTGTTTCTACATTCAGACAAAACTTTGTCCTACATTAGAGGTGTCCTAGCAGTGGTTTGCACCTTTTCTCATAATGCTGAAACAGCAATGGTGTGAGCAGCTTGATTTAAGGTCATTTCATTAGACATTTTGCTGCAGTTTTAAATGAAGTAGTTTCACTTCATTGTATTGGTACCATCATTTGTACTTATTTTTGTGGGCAGTGCTGGCTAGGCTAGCATTTATTACCCATCCTTGAACCATTGCAGTCCATTTCACATAGGTACACCCAGGATTTTGACTTAGTAACACTAAAGGAACAGCGATTTTATTTCCAGGTCAGAATGGTGAGTAGCTTGGAGAGTTTGTTGATAATGTTCCCAGGTATTTCTTGTTGTCGTCCTCTTAAATGGGAATGGTCATGGATTATCATACTGTACTTACACCTTGTCTTTAACAGCCGTTTGGAGTTGCATCTTTCACAAAAGGCCCTTTTTAGCTTTTCTTCAGGCTCTTCACAATGTGCGTGCTCCTTACCAATATGACTAGATATTTACAGTTCACTTATGGACAACTGTTTTTGTGAAATTAATTGGATGATAACCATTGGTTTAATTTCCTTTGAGAGTGTGCTTGCCAGGTGATATACCCTGATCAATTTCTCTTAATTGTATTGCAATTGATTCCTCCCCACCCCTATTATTTGTGTTCATCCCATATTGCCAACTGTGTCTTCAGTCACTTGAACTCAACCCTTCGAAAATTTCTGTAAATCAGTCTGCGTTTTTGTATCTCCCTCTTCCTTTATATTATTCACCTCAGCTTTTTGACCAAGCTTTAGTTGCTCTTCTCAATTCCCTTTTGACTCATCATTAATTTCTCTCACTGATGAGTAGCTTTGGATGTTTCTATGTGTTAAAGGTATTATGAATAAAAGTTACTGCTGCATATATGCTGAAATTGTCAGCCTAAGGAGTACATAATTTTGTAAATAAGTATGAATTTGATCCAGATGGTGGATCTGAAACAATTTTTATTCCTACGTTTGTGTGGCTTCTAAAAGCAATGGTTTGAGTATTCTGACTTGTACATTATTGAAGCACTGAGTATTTGCCATTGTTGAATTTTTACAAATTGCCTGATTGATGACCTTTAGACAATTGCCTAATTTTGGTGGAATTGTTTTCAACCTGTGTTGATCTCTATGTGTATCTCACTCAATGGAGGTATTTTCCATTTAGAGTGAAAATGAGCCAAATAATACAATCTTATAGACGTGAAGGAGGCTATTCAATCATCATGTCTGTGCCAACATGTTAAAAGGTTTCATTTAGTCCCATTCCCGTTGCTCTATCCCCATGGTCTGCAAATTTCCCATTTTTAAGCATTAATCTAAGTGTCTTTTGAAAGTTACAGTTTCCATCATACTTTAAACAGATTATCATAACTTAAGTTTAAAAAAGAATCCTCATCTCTCTCTCTCTCTAGTTTCTTTGCCAATTATTTAAAATCTCTGCCATTTGGTTACTGACTCTTTTGCTAGTGGAAATGTTTTCTCCTTATTTAATGTTTCAAATACCTTAATTATTTAGAAAACCTTATTAAATTCTTCCCAACCATTTTGTTCGAAATTGGACAATCTGACTCCCCAGTCTCTTTGATACTTTGAAAACTGTGAAGTATTTTCATTACGCAAGGCAGTTAAGGGTGGCAGAACCATGATGGTAGATACTAAAGATCCTGTATTGACATACCATACCATCATCAATGAACCGTGCTGACTGAAAACAGCGTTGATAGAAGCTGTAAGATGTAAAAGATTAGTAGAGTCATGATTTTTATTGTCACTAGTGTGTGAATAGTAAAACATAGACCTCCTCTCTATTGAATCATGTTAATTCTAACTTATATGAAAATTGTCCTTCTGTTATGAAGTAGGCTGATTTGATCCTGTCTAAGAAGCAGTGATTTTTTTTTTTGAAGCCCTTCAAGGTCAGGCTTGTTTCTGCTGGAAAGTGTAATTTTTTTTCAATGCAACATTCGTAATGTTTGAGCATCAAGTTCTTTCAGGTCAGTTGTTGCACAACCACTTGCAGAACAGCTCTCCCTTCACTTCACCTCGCCAATGTTCCTGACCCAGCCTAACCTCAGTTTCCTATTAGTGTGATGTTTTCCGGTTACTTGTTTTGAGGTTACCATATACAACAACAGCTGATATTTATATAGTACCTTTAAAGGCTGATGTGAGTACTTCACAGGAATGTGCCGAAGAAAAATTCAAACTGAACTCTGAGGTAAAAAGCTTGATTGGAACTCGGAGTACAAGAGTTTAGGACCCAGGCAATTGGTGAAGTGATTAAAATGGGAAATATTCAAGAGACCAGAATTAAAGAAGTGCAGAAATCTACAAAAATAATAGTGAAATGGTAATATTACTGGACACAATACGGAGGTCTGTCATAATGGATCTGTGATGTGGAGGTGCGATTTGGAAAGATGAGTTCGAAATCCCACCATAACCACTGGAGGGACCTAACTTAATTCATAAATCTGAAATCGGAAGGTAGTCCCAGCAATCGTGGTCATGAAACAAGATTGTGTTTAAAGACTTCTGGTTTGCTAATATCATTTACTGAAGGAAATCTGCACCCCTGTCTTTTTCTGACATGCATGTGACTCCATGCCCACAGCAAAGTGGTTGACTTTTAACTGTACTCTGAAATGACCTAGCAAGATGCTTAGCTGTATGAAACTGCTATACAAAAGAAACAACAAAACTGGGCAAACCATTTTGTATTGACCTAAGCACTAAAAATAACACAAACATGACCTGCCTAGTCAACACTACGACAACCTTCTTGCTAATACTGGGGGCTTGTCCCAAAATCAGCAGAAATGCTGCATAGATTAGTCAAACAGCGACCTGACATTGGTGTAGTCATACCTTGCAACCCAATTCCCAGATTTCGCTATCACAATCTCAGGATATTTCCTCCCCTGATAGCTGTTCAGAATCTTGGGATGTGGTGACATAGTGGTATACAGTCAGGGTGGACTATTCCTATGCATTTTCAACACTGAACTACAGAAAGTCTTGTGGCTTTGAAGTGGTTCAGAGGAAGTTTACCTATAATGAATGGGTTCTTATAGGAGGAAAGTGTGGACAGGGCACAGCGTGTTTTCCTTAATATTTAGAAGAGAGAATGATGATTTGGTTGAAATTTTAATAAGATCCTGAAAGTTCTCGACAAGGTTGACCTAAAAAGGATGTTTACTCTTGTGGTTCAGTCCAGAACTAGTGGATGCTGTTTTAGAATTAGTGTCCCTTTGAGGACAGAGGCAGGCAACAGCATGGCAGAGAATGAGGTAAGACTGATAAATTAAACTGCATTTATTTCATCCAAGAGGCATAACAGGTAAGGTACATGAACTTAGGTCTCGACCTGAAACATCAGCGTTCCTGCTCTTCTGATGCTGCCAGGCCTGCTGTGTTCCTCCAGCTCCATATCGTCAACTCTGACTCCAGCATCGGCAGTTCTTACTAACGCCAAGGATTTTTATTGTCGTTTTGACAGTACAGACTTCTGTACTCTATGATCCTGTGAACATCTACAAGTCATTCACCATCCTGACTTGGAAAAATATATCACCATGCCTTCATTGTCGCTGGGTCACAGTCCTAGAGCTCCTAACAAGGGTGTGCATCTACATACACCAAAATACTATCGCAATTAGAGAAGGCAGTTAACTCCCACCTTCTCGAGGGCAGCTGTGGATGGGCAGAAAATGTTGGTCCAGTCAACGAAGTTGACATCCCATAAATTAATTTAAAATGTCAAAGTTTGTCTGATTCTGCACCCATGAGAAGAATTTTTAAAACATGTTAAAGGCACTACATTTAGGTTTTTGGTTTTGTAATTGTGAAGGAACTCGATTAGCATGCAAGAGATGAGCCACAAAGAGGTGCTGTTTTCGCTGCAATAATTTAGTTAAACCCAAACTATTCTGAGATTGATTTATTGCAGTTAGCTTATAGTGTCAGTTCTCCTGTATTTCTGCAGCTAGAGATGCATTTCAGAAAAAAAAGCTTTTTTAATTTGCATGAAAATGTAAGATATATTGATGG